TTGTGTTTGCTGCTTAGAACTTACAAAAGGCAACTTTTTGGTGGTTTTGCAAAAAGAATTTATTAACCTCATCAAAAGCCTTAAAAACCTTAAACCTGCTTAAAACTATAAAACCTTAAAACCACTCCATGCTGTTCATATTAACATTATTAAATTGCATGGTACTTTGTTTGGTGCTGTGCTGCGTGCTGTGTTTTCTCATGTTACCATTAGCATTTCAGCCATATGACTCACTGACACGACATTGTTAGAATCGGTCGGCTCATGATTCGGCTGATGAACTTCGCGAAAAACGTGGTTCAGTTCATGACTGAAGTCGGCATTTTCCTTGGCAGCCGATTCAGGTCACGACTAACCCTAAAACGATTTACTCACGAGCCGATTACTGATTCGGGTCGGGTCAGGCACAAGTCTGGTAGGTAGGCGGATTACGTGTGTTGGCGAGCAGTGTCTGACTATGGAGTGCATTGAAAGGAAGCATTATGTGTAGGTGGCGATTAGCTTCCGTTGTAGCCTGGCTGCAGCATTCCTCTCCTAGCCGTGTGCAGTGTGTCACAAGGCGCTGTTGATGGTTATGGATGGGTGCCTGTCCAGCTCACTCTGCTCAGTGAGAACAGCTTTCTGTTCTTTTCATTGTACTAGTGGGTATGTGTGATTTCTTGGGGACAAAAACACCACGAAAGCCCCAAGTTTCAGACGCTGCTGATTATTCAACACACGGGTACCATGTTTTTTTATCATGCGGCTAATGCAGGCTAGCATATCGGAACTCACGCAAATTCTCATGGTTTTGCCATTGTAATCGGGCTACGGGTGTTTCGGCCGTTCGCACCCGCTCGGGGATCAATGTGCCCCCTCCCCGAAGTTGTTTCCAAAATAAGGCTGCAGCGTAGCTGCCGCCAAACTGTGTATGGTGGTACGAATTGAATAGTTCTTTTTGTTATAAAACATGATATGTACCTCGGCAGGTAGTTTAAAACGCGCTCGTGTGAGGTTTGGTGGGTTTTTCGGTTTTCCGAATGAAGGTTTTTCCCAAATGACTTCCGAACGGTGGGGCGTAGCCGCGCCAAATTTTGCACAGCTGTAGACAATTAAAAGCGGATCGTTTGGCGTAACAAATTTAGATGTACTTTGTAAGGCCGCTGATCTATGGCAGGTCAAACTCATGCTATGGTCTCAGCGAAGTCCATTTCTAGGGAATCGTTCAATTTGATGTAACAACGGAGTGTTAAACAAAGCCATACATCTCTGAGATGCTTTCTTATGAAACTCAAATGTTGAATGAGCAAATCAAGTTGACCTAAGGTCAGATATGAAGGTCAGACCAAGGTCATGACCGACCTGTTTTATTACCCTAAGGCTTGCTGTATGGGATGGTTTCTGGCGCTTATTTGGAATTTGTTGATAGCAGGAACCGCATTACACATGTTTCGTGAACTTCTTAGAGGTCAGAATAGGTTATTGACCTAAAGCGACCTAGGTCAACATTTTGTTTTTGGGAACATATTGCCTGCCGTAATCTTTGTCGCTTATTCAAATGCAAAACTCAGAGAAGTCTTCTATGATTTTAGTCGCCATGATCTTCAAAAGGTCAAACAAGGTCATTGGCCTTAAATCAGCATGTACCCTTTTGCTTAGAAACAGTTAGCTAGTTTCGGGGGCACTTATGAGACCAACCTGAAATTTTACCTTCTTTGACCTTATGTGACCCGAAGGTCATGACCTAGGAGCCTCAAACTTTGATCTAAGTGAGTTCACGTACAGGTCAACACATCTTGTAAATTTGGTGTCTCTACCTTTCTTAGTTCCCAAGATCTCACGGCGGTCAAATTGGCCCCCACACCCGAGCGAAGGGGATCTAGCCGGCCACCCCGGCGCCTATTAACACGTCGAAGTCAGGGCATGGCTGTCAGCGAAGACAGTGTCTAGAGAATCGATCACTTTAGTGCGACAACGGAATATTGGACGAAGCCATACATGTTTTTTATGGTTTCTCAGAAAATTAGACAATGCAATTCAAACTACGGCCAATTCCATTAACTCTAGGTCCGGTATAGAGGTCATTACGGCCAAACCAGCTTCACAGGTTTACACTTCCACACTATACTTTTGCAGCTTAACACTTCGCCAAGGCATCTTATATTGAGCTTGTAGACCATGTCAGATAGGTAGCTAACCCAAAGCAACACCGATCAACCTTTTTGCTTCAAATGTATCGACGGTTTTGGTTATAGTTAGCGTATATTTGAAAACGTAATTGGCATGATATACACACCAGCCACTTCATGTTAAAAAAGGTGTATGGGTTAAAGCTGTTTCTTGAGAAGGTCTGAGTGCGCTTCGGACACTGATCTTGAGTTTGATATTGTTTGACCTTATCTAAACCAAAGGCCACAACTAAGGGGATTCAAAATTTGACACGATGATTTCGCAAATAGCTCTATCTGCCCTGTGAATTTGATGTCTCCAACTTTCTGGGGCTTCGTTTTGAGATATCAGGACGTGAAATGGCCGCCCTCGCCCACACCCACGCGCGTCGCATTCAGCCGGCTACCCAAGCGCGTCCGTGGCGGTTAGTGGTGGCGCGTGTTAATGTTAGTGGTGGCGCGTGTTAGTGGCGGTGGTGGTGAAATTGGGGAGCTGTTGTAGATGGCGCGGTGGCGGCGTGGTGGTGATGCCTGCGGTGATTTAGTCCCGGGTTGCCTAGTGTTTGGGCCATGTGCTGACAGCCTCTCCGCCACGCCCCGGTTGAAGTGAGAATGCTGTTGGCTTGGTTGGCTGCGTGGAAGTGTGCGAAGGCCCACCTTCGGCGGCGTGCCTCCACACACTCGGAGCGGCGAGCACACTCGTGCGGCTCGGAGCTGCGAGGCATGCTGGGTCTCGCGAGAGCGGCTCTCTGTGGTTGGGCTGTAATTGCGATGCTCGGTTATGCTGCTTCTCGGGTCATTCCATCCGACATTCAGGCCGATTTCTGTTTACATTATTGTTAACAGTCTGGCACGCGTCGTTCACTTGCCTTCGGCTTCCGTAAGGTTCGGTGTCTGCAGTTCATATGGTGGTTGGAACAGTCAGCCACCGCATGTTTCAACTTATTCGTCCATCTGGAGAGTTCGGGACGAATGTACATTTCCACCCACGTTTGGCTTGTTGCCAACTGGTAAAATTGGCAATGATCCAGGGAAGTCGAGCTGCAAACAAATCATCACTGTCTTGAAATGCTTCCAACTGACTTACTTTCAAAGGTGCATGTAGCGCACTTGCGGTACACTTACAGTCTTGCACAACTCGCACGCCTGGGAACGATTATTTACAACATAAAATTCCATTCAGATCCATAGCCAGCTACCGTCGCGCTCTATTCTGATCAGGAAAGAACGATTTTATTTCATTTCCGGTAATACATCTGCGGACTCCTGGTTGTTCGCGCTACACTCTACCTCGCTTACGGGAAGAGAGACAAAGGGCGTTCATTACCACACACTCCGAGCCCACGCCAAATAACGTGTATTACGTGTGGATGAATGTGACAAAGCAACGATGAGGAATTCGATACTTTTAATGAACCTCAAATGTGACAAGTTAATTAAACTAAATACTTCACGAGAATATTCATGGAGCAGAAGGTACTTGGATTTCTTGCAATGCCCCGCATGTTATAGCATACAACTGTACTACTTTCATATGCAGTACTTACGTAAATGTCGTAGAGCATGTGGTTGCAATGGATTGCAAAGTTTAATGACATATTGAAGTTGAATTTGCGGATGTTCCAACAGTATGCTGTGAATGTCTCGGGAGATTTAATTGCTATAACTTTTTAGAATTGGAGTATTTCAGCACTTTGATTATTGTAATGAGTCAGTGGGGCCAACGTCATCCGTGGAGTATCGGGCGTCACCAACCGCAGGTCGGGGACAAGGGGAGTAGCGGGCGCTCCTGTGGTCCATATGGCACGACGCTGACTTTGGAAGCATAGTAGCGATCCCCGGTCAGCGCCACCTCACGCTGCTGCGCCGGCGAAAACTGCGCATCTGCTTACGTCGAGCAAACCCCGGCGGATCTGGCCGCAAGTCCCCACTCCCTCTCACGCACACGCTTCTTTCCTACGCCGGTCACTTATTCCCGAATACGTGACGAAGTTTTTCCCAGCGATATCAAGCGTGTCTTCCCAACACACAGAGCAACAACTCTGCTTCGTCTGACCGGATAACCCAATCAGCCTGCCACCCCCGCCAACCAACAGCCACCGCCGTTACGAACTATGCGAGGCCTCTCTCTCTCTCTCTCTCTCTCTCTTCTCTCTTCTTCGCTCTTCTCTCTCTCTCTCTATCTCTATCTCATCATCTTCTCTCTCTCTCTCTCTCTCTCTCTCTCTCTCTCTCTCTCTCTCTCTCTCTCTCCTCTCTCTCTCTTTCTTCTCTCTCTCTCTCTCTCTCTCTCTCTCTCTCTTCTCTCTCTCTCATCTCTATTATCTCTCTCTCTCTCTCTCTCTCTCCTCTCTCTCTTCTCTCTCTCTATCTCTCTCTCCTCTCCTCGCTCTTCTCTTCTCTCTCTCTCTCTCTCCTCTCTTCTCTCTCTCTCTCTCTCTCTTCTCTCTCTCTCTCTTCTCTCTCTACTCCCAGCTCTCGATCTCGCTCTCGCTCTCCGCTCTCGCTCTCTCGTTGATCTCTCCAATGCGTCACCGCTTCACCGAAGGAACACTTGTTCCAGCATCTCAGCAAACGACCACCAGCTCCAGCGCCTCGCCGAACAATCACTAGCCCCAACGCCTTACCAACGATCACTAGCCCCAGCGCCTCACTGAACGACCACTAGCCCCAGCGTCTCAGCGAACGATCACTAGCCCCAGCGCTTCATTGAACGATGAACTGCTGACCAGCATTTGATGTCGTCCATCGGGCCATAGCCAGTTCTCCCGCTGGTGCTGCGGTGTCCTCTGCGTGGCCATGCTTCCAGGCGTCACTCATTGGAGAGCGTTCACGGCTGGTGTCTGCCCGCAGTTGGCGACCGCGCAGGTCCGACACTTGACCTCCAGAGTAAGGACCGTAAAGAGCTGTCGCAAGAGGAGAAGATCGCCCTCTTGGGCAGACCCAGACTGGGGGAGGCGACTCGAGCACAAATTAGGATAAAGGAGAGCAAGGAGTTTAAGGTAAGCTCGACTTCATTCGTGTACTACTTTGCATGTATTGTCTCGTGCCTCGTATTGTTTACGTTGTTGGCACAGTGCTCAACTTTTGCTGCTAAATACTTGAAGATATTGAGGCATGCATCAATGCGATGGAAAAAGCTCACCTGTAAGTATTAGCATCCTTTTAAGTGCAAGTGACTGCCCCAAATTGCATAACTTTGCTTTTTTGTGGTGACTCCTTGTTGGGTTATGTTTTTATTGCGTCTGGAGACGTTTTTATGGCATCAGAGTCGCGGTGTTGACCGTGTCAGGATTGCCACTAGCGGATGGTGGCCTCATTTGTGGTGTTTCAATCGCCGCAAGATGGCGGTAGTGTATGTCCGGAAAATGATCTCGTTAACGTTATGTGCATGCGGTCCGGTTATGTCCTAATGGTGTTTGCCTGTATTTTTTTCGTGATTTCATGCATTTTGCTTGCATTTGCGTTCTTGGTTACGGCACTTCCCTTTTTATTCGGTGATCAGCGGCATGACCATCACAACTAGTGGCACCACCCACACGTCTGTTTTTGTATGTCACAAAACTAGGCTCGTGATCGATGCAGCAGCTTAAACTGGCTGTTTACCAATATCCGTGTATGTTGAGACACTTCGTGCTGACCTATTCCAGAAAGAAATGTTTCAGTGGCTGTAGTTTTCTTGACCATGAGCACAATGTTGCCACTAACGTGGGTGAATTCGTATGGCGTTTCTATAACGTGGTACGTGCAAGTAGCTTCGAAGTAGGCAGTGCGAAATAGTCTGCCCGAATTCGCGCGCATCAGTCTGAGAAAAAAACAGAATTGAGGTTAATTTGAGGCTTAAATAAGAACGGCAGGGCATTATTTGAAGACGTCCGTCGCATTTCGAAATGCTGTGCAAATCCCTTAACAGTCTTTTCCTCTTGACAGAGTCTCTGCCAAAAATAGTCCCTTTAAAGAGACTATTTCACATTTGTCTGAGGGTTTGAACTGAAATAGCCATGTTCAAGATCGGTCGGTGTAGGTCATAGCTCTGCCCTGCTTGAGACCTAAGCGCCTCTAGTTTCTAAGCTGCATGGCCGCGAACATGTATAGAGTTTTTGTGCAGACTATTTCGAGGTTACCCAGGCATCCATGACGCCATAATGATGTCATTTAAACCCCTCCATTCCACGAGGCATGCCACGTTCAAGGCCGATAAAAATATATTTTTCGAGCCGTGACATGTTTGACTTTTGCGACCACGATTTCCTAGGCACAACGGTGATTTCTAGATATTTTCCAATAGGATCTCATTCATTGTTGTACAAGCTATGCAAGATTCTAACAAAAATTGCGTTTTGTGCTACAAAATACAAGAAGTTATACATTATTCTTAGTTACGATGGAGATGGAGTTGCAATCAAATAACCTAAAGGAAATGCTTCACATTTGAAGACATTGAAGCAAACGTCAGATGTAATAAAGCAAGCTAACTTGATAACAATTGGTATGCTTTTAAGTAGAAAAGGCTGGTCTAGACAGCACAATTTCTCGGTTCAGTAAATATGCTCCTCGATCCGTCGTTGTTTTAATACGTCATCGTACCCTGCACAACACGTTATGTCTGGAAGTCGTCCTTACGAACGCCAGCTATGAACGACACGGGCATTATATTTTTCTCGGTCTTGATGTCCGCACGGTTATGGAATGACAGGATTTGAACAACCTTGAGATGCTCCCCCGAAATAGTCCCCCATTTTCGCTGGTGTGCAGCTCAGAAACTAGACGGCCTTAGTTAATGAAAAGGGCAGGGCTGTGAACTGCAACGAAAGGTCTTCAAAATGACCATTTCAGTTTTAAACCCCATAGACATGTGGGAGACTTCCTTTTAGAAAAGCGTTATGACCGAGTATGTGAGTACAAGCTGATGTCTTAAACTCACGGATGAGCATGCAAAAACACCACGAGAAAAGGCTAAAACGCGGGCACATAATGATATGTGGGTCATCGGACACTTCCAGCCGGTGCTGCCATCTCTCGGGAGATTAAAGAACAAGTGGATGCTGTTACACGAACGTTTCATGATGCAATCAAACAACGACGTGGTGAAGGGCATATGTATTAAATAGAGAAATGTTTGCTGTTTTGGGCAGTATCTTCCACTGATAAGCATACTTATAATTATATGTGAGCTTATTTCATCATATATGTTTGCTTCATTATCTTCCAATGAGGAGCATTCTCATTAGTATTTGCGTGAGACATGTGGAATTTGGTTGATTTTTTATTTGCATCGGCAGCGGTGTCAGCGCGCTGTAAGCCACCAAGGGCGGCAGTCACTAATCGTGCACAACAAACAGGATGTTATGCGCATGGTGGTGCGAGTGGGGTCGTAAGAGGCCATCCCTAAATAGCCCTTAAAAGACGTGAGTATCAGATGTTGTACCATGTAGATCATATGGAGAACTAATCTCCTGGAGCCAGACACTTTCAGCAACCGATACCATTAGGCTTGGGCGCGGATTTCTAGTGATATTAGGTATCGATGGGTTTGACCAATTATACTATTCATGCATGTCAAATGAATAGGTGTGGACAAGTTGAGGATTTATTGTATATACGTCCATGTCCATATACAAATATAAATATGTAACATTAACACGACTAGCATGGTTTGAAAACGTTTAGCGATGAGTATGGGCAGGGCTGGTAATTTAGGCCGCCGTGCCGACAGCTTGGATCAGGACAATGCCGCGTCAGCTTATGTTAGTTCTCCCACTGCGAAGATGTCCAAGAAGCAACTGTGACACAAATGTGGACACATTCTCAGCTGACGAGCTTAACTGGCATAGCTGCCGCAATTTGAAATCATTTTTGTGCAAGGACATCATACTTTCTGCTCGATGCCTACATGTTGGCAACTGGGGCTTCCGATATTAATGCCGTTGTCTGTCGTTATTCATTATTAAAACCCCTGTCACATTAACACCAGCTAACTAAGGCCTCAAAACAAAACAAAAATACAAAATATGATTGTTTTTTGCGTCATGCGACCGAGGTACATGGGACCAGGAACAGGGGGGCGCGGGGGCCATATCCCCACTTTTGAAGGTTGGGACCTGCAATGTTAACAGCCCCCTTGTCATATGTAGGCTGCCGTTATCTTTATTTGTTCTACCTTAAGCATGTATGCCGATACCAGTTCACCAGCCATCTTCCTCAAGAAATGTCATCTTTTTCGTTCGCCCATTGGCCATCGCTTAGCGTCACAGCCGCGGGGTCGACGCCGGGCAGCCTGTGGGTACTGCAACGCCGGGCGTCGAGGCTGTTGCTGAATTGGCGAGCGCGCGCGGTAAAAATAACGTTACAAAGTTGTCCTCGGAAACAATTTTGACTGAATGTTAAGCATTTCAAGACTAACATATGTTGGCCGTGTCAACACAAATATGGGACCTCATTTTGATTAACAACCTACGTTCAGATAGTCCTCAATATCTCTGAAGAGCACAGAAACAAATATGGAACTGGGGTCGATGTGACAAATATTGGACTACCGGTGGCGACCAGGGATGTTTTTGCGTCAATAAGGTTTCCTGTGTTGATCCGGGGCTAACTGCACGGTTTAGAGGGCCTCCCGCGTCACGGATAGGAACAGTGCGATGTGTTGTATCCTTTTAAGGGTCTCCAGATCGACCAGGGGATCCCGCCCCGTGTCGCCGGAATGGGAGGCGGAAGATATCCTGCGATGGGACGGAATGGCCCTTGGCCAATGACCCAGTCCTTCACCGGAAACAGTAACGGTGCCCTCGGTGTTCTACGCAAGAGGCCGGTGCCCGGAAATAAGGGGGCTCATTTTTGTTGAACAGAGTGGGTCGAAATGAGTTCTAAACAAGCAAGGCTGTTCCATGTTCGCCTGAGAATGTTCATTGCTTTCCAGAATCGGTTTGTGAAATGAATTATAAAAAAGGTTTGAATATGCGGACCTGCCATCTCGGGAGCAAGGACAACGCTGGCCTGGGCTGCAGCTTCCGTAAAACCGACGCCGTTGGCGCCGTTTTAACTTGTACTCCGGAAAAATTAACAGTTCAAACAAGACGAGAAGCAGATTATATATATATATATATATATATATATATATATATATATATATATATATATATATATATATATATATAACAAGGTTATATATCATATGTGCGTGAAATACATTATATATATATATATATATATATATATATATATAATTGAGATTCTATCTTTGCTCTTCCAGTTCCACCTCTAGATTCTAGCACCACTTGGCGGTGCTGTAAAGGCCAATCTGTTCTTGTCATTGATCTAGAAATTTCACATGTGGAATTGATGCCCAGACTACCTCTAAATGTAAGATTTGGTGTCCTCAAGCGTTCAAATGCAGTGCTTTTAGAAGTGTCTGTCATTTTCGTCCATCCGTTGGCTACGGCTCAGTGTTAGCCGCTGGGCCGACGCTGCACGGTGATGGAGACATGTGACGAGTAGCGTTGAGGTTTTCGTTACCAATATTTGCGAGCACGCATGTTCAGAACTACGGTACATAATTTATATCACTAATCGATTAAGTATTCAAAGGTGCTTCTTTCAGAAGCGTCATTTTTGTCCACCCTATCGACCACGGTCCAGTGATAGCCGCTGTGCCGACGCTGCGCGGCCTATGGAGACCGCAACGCCTGGCACCGGAGTTTTTGCTGGTTAAATTTCTGAGGCGCATGTTCAGATCTATGCCACATAATTTATATTACCAACCGATTCTGACGAATTAGGGACATTTCCAGACAAACATGGGTTGGACATGTTCATACTCATTATTGGCTCATTTCGACCTGGGGAAAGCGCCGGGAACATAGAGCTCTTTTCAAAGGAGACTTTTGACCTTAGACTGGGTTGCTCATGGGGCTTGTTTGCTCGGGCTAGGTCCATCAGTCAGCATAGCTCTCTTGTATTTCACAGGCATGTTTTCCTGATGGAATTGGTCTGCTCTATAAGCCTTTTTACGGGACCCACGCCGTGTCGGCCGTTTAAGTCCTCTTCCTTAGGCCTATTTCTGGCCCTCTGCTGTCAGAACCACCGGCCGGCGCTGGCCGATGTGACCACGGTGTCGTCAGTCGCCTTGCCCGACTGTCGGGACGCCGCCGTGTGCGGTTTGTCAGCGAATGTGGGTCACGTCGGCCATGGCCGACACGTGCGGGCTGGGTCTGGTCCGTCTCAAGGCGGCCGCCGACCCGGTGTGGAGTGTCCGTTATCGGAGCAGCGCAGCGAGAATTGGGGTCCGCGTGATACCGGCAGTTCGTGTTTTCATTCGTTTTGAAAGGAAACCTTGATGCCTGAGAATGCTGGTTTCCGCCCCCCGACTCGAATGGGGGATGTGTATTTATATTCCGATCTATTTTATCCGTTTATCTATTCATATATTTATCCTTTTATTCGTTAAGTTGTTTGTATTTTTAATTATATACTCGTGTATGTTGGTTCGTCTCTTTGTCTACGCATTTGTATGCATCCGCGTACATACATATATAAGCCAAACGCAGATTTTGCATGAACTAGCTTTTCAATAGATTAATCTAGACTCCAGAGTTTTGTCTTCGCAGCATTGTTTGAGGGAAAGGTAGTTCGTTAAAATATCTCACTGATTCGTCGGCTGGTATGGTTCAATATTTCAAGATCGAATCGCATTGGTAAATTTTGAGCTTTTTCCATACTGAAGCTGTGCAATTACAATGGTTACCACATCTTCAAGTATGGAAAATGCAAATAGCCCTGGAAGTGGGCATGTAATACCACACGGGGCCGTTATAATGATTTTGTAAAACCGTGGTCTATGCTGCAATTTCTGCCACCGATCTTGAGTCTCGACAACAATTCCATAATGACCAAGGTCGTAGAAAATTGTTGCAGCCCCGAGAATGCCTTTTACCAAGTGCTGTAGTGTGATGGAACATTTACATAGATTTAAAGCCATGCTGCCTTCCGCACTTGGGTTGTTCCTCGGGGAAGATAATTATAATAAGACGTATAGCGTTTACTCAGGTTATCCGAAAAAAGAGCCGTCATCCTGGACCACCATCACTAGCAACTTTGAAAGTTCTCGGAAATGCACCCTCTACCACAGACGCCACTTATCATCAAGCAATGCACTGAGTGGATGTTTAGATTAACACCAAGAATTGCATTCAGCAAGAGTTTGTACAAATTGCAGTTGTATGTCTCATGCGAATAGCCGCTTATTTTTTTTCCGGTGCGAAAAAAACTGCACGTTGACAATGTGCAGGTTTTCCTCAATGCAGAGTGGTTGTCAAGCGTAACTCGACAAAAACTTGCTGTTTTTCATAAGGTTGGTGGCCTGGTGTTTCTGGCTACAGACCTTGCGGTACTACGCACCGCACTACGAGCTTGTGTGAGACCACAGAGCCGGAGAGGCCTGTACTCCTGTTGCTGCCGTGACGTGGCCCGGCTCCCTGGTCGCGGTCAGTGTCACAGAGCCAGGGGCCGGCCTGTTGCCGCAGTGACGGCCTGGTCCAGCGGCTGAGCCAGGAGAAAGCCTGTGGCGGCAGCGAATTAGCTCTGGCATCCACGTGCTTATACCGTACCTTGCGTACGGCATGTATTGGGTGTATGGATTCAGAGTGGGGTGGGGCTGTGTGTCACTTAACGTCTTGCTAGCCGGTTTTTTTAACGCAACGGCATCTTAATTGTTTCTTCCTTAACTTTGCTGCCGCTATACCATAAGTTGCCTTACGTTGACTACGGCCTGGTTTTTAGTCAAAATAAGATTCCCACCAACGGGTGTGTGGCTGTAAGTGCACGTCAGACAAAACAACTTCTGGCGCACCCATATCTCAGGCAGACCCCCATCGAAGTCCGTCAGGTATCACAACCGTCGCTGCTTTATCCACTTCCCATACTTCCCATAGGGCTCATGTGTTTCAGGCCTGCTTTTCACAGAGCTGTGCACCGAATTATACCAGGCCAATTTCGATGAACATGTACTCAAACGAAAGATTGTTTAATTGTTTTTAAACAAAAATGGCGGAGGGATTTCTCTCTGCCTTAGAAGCCAAACACTCATGGCGCACCGGGTCAAAGTTTTCGTGCACGGTATGACAGGCTTTTTCCGACTTTCGCGACATGTTGAGAAGTCTCAGCAGCGCAATCGAAATGCGTCGGATGCATGATGGAAAGACTGTGTGATCGTAGCTGGGGCATTCTAAAACTGTTCTATCTGTTTCCTACGTAGTGTGCTGAAATGTTTGCTATCAGCCAAGACGTGCTGTCAGTGAAATGTAGTGTAAAACCCCTCGGAAATTTCTTACAAAAATTCGGGGCTGAACTTTAATTTTTACATACATTCACTTCTGTTACACCTGTGTCATCTTACGTTCAGTAACCGGCTGCCAAACACCTAGCACTAACTAGAAATTTATCGCACATTCCACATCTAGTGCATTTTGTTGGGATGTTTGCTGGAACCTTATACTGGAATGTTTGTGAGTAAAAATTTGCACTTTGTTCTTGAACTCTTTGTTCTACTCAGTATCTACTATCCTGCATCTCAGGCGCCTTTCCCATTTCAGAACACTGTGGACAAGCTAGTGCAGCGCGCGAACGCCTCGTTCCTGGTGGGCACCTCGTCGTGGAAGGAACAGTTCATCGATGCCGTCACCGTTTCGGCCGGTAAGAAGTGCTAGGCGTCGACTGTGCTCGGCCCAGGTGGGTTGCCTACACGGGCACAACTGAACGATTGGGCTTCCTGGGCAGCTGGGGTAGTGCCAGACTGCACGGCACTGTGCATAACAGGCTGCTGTCATCGCCAGATTATCAGCTTAGCAGGTACATATTCATGTGTACTGGGCAGTACCCATCACATCTCGAATCACTTCATGTTTGGCGAATTTCGACATTTAGGTCGGTATCAGTGGTGTTGTCTTACGGTATTTGCGGCTAGATGGCCCAAATATCGATTCTGAATCGATGTTTTCTCTTCACTTTGACGCATCCTGATCGCCTCAAGGAAAAAAGGCGTAGGTCGCGGCTGATACAAATCAAGTTGTTTCGGTATAAAGGTCGATAAAAATAGTGCGTTTTGTAATACGTAAATGAACATCACATAATATGCTTTGAACGAGCTTGATCGTGGTCATTGAAATGTATTATTCCGAGGAGGAAAGTCATCATTATTTGGTGCACCGCGATTTAGATGTGTTTGGAAACCGGTCTCAAGATCAGATGTAATGAAATCATCGTTGGGTTTGGAATGATTCTTTCATTTCTTGCGTGTACTCATTTTATTGAGGTTTATGTATTAAAAGCAAGATGTATGATGCGTAAGCTATGTTGAAAGTCGCATCGAGGCTCGTGGGTAAGTGACGGATAAATCCTGTGATTTTTAGCCGTTGAGACGCCTGCAAACCCAAAGATTTTCTGTTTTCAGACTTTGTTGTATCGCCCGATGAATGGCGGTGTGCTTTGAGTTGCATCAGCGCTACTCGGCGGACATACCAAAGCTGTGTGCAGTCAGCAAAACCGTGATGCTGCCTTGTCTGATCCCTTTTAACGAATCCGCCATAATAGAAGACGTAAGCTGACCTCGGTCAAGGCTGTAGACCACGTACAGAGTTGTTGTCTCCATTCCGAGTGTATGCTTTAGCGCATCGGGCGTCGAATCGGTCGGCGTTCTCACCGGTCGGTTGTTGGTCACACCAACCCAGGGTAATATATGCCGGAAATAACGCGGTTCAGTATATAAATTACAGCATAGCATTCAACCACTATAGCATGTGCAAGTGTGGGTTAAAACTTTAGTTTACACGTTTGGCAACCTATACTGGAAGGTAGCGTATCGCAGAAGCTGCAATGGTGAACGCACCTAAATTTCAAGTGAAAATTATGTGCAGAGTTTGATCAAGAAACTCCCCGAAAATTGTACACTTCAGTGCACTGATGGCATGTATCGGCCGTTAGCCAAGCATCCAGCATATTCCATGGGTGACTGATAGAAGAAGTCTTGTCGGCCCCGCGTTGAACACATAACTTTGTAACTAGAGATCCGACAGGCTACCGACGTGGCTACTGAGATCGTGCAACACATCCCAAATTCGGAAAATTCACGGCGTACCACACATGGAAATTTTGACCGGGCATGCCGTGAGAGTCTGGCTTCTGTAGGCAAAAGCTGGTCAATAAATTTGCACAAAGTAAGAAAACATTAGTTCTTTTGGTGCCTGGTGCATTGCAATTGTCGGGAGAGAATTCGGTGTACAGCTCCGCAAAACAGGCCTTCAACACGTGAATCCTATGGGCTGGAAGGACAAACGCGCCATTGAACGGCTGAGCTGCCGACGTGGCTTGGTGTGGGCTTGTGTCAACCGCCCGCGGTTTGCCCTCCGTGTAGCCTGGTTTGTAGAGGCTGGCATATGGCGTGGCAACCCAACATCGCCGTTACGTGTCTGCTCATTGGCGGCCAATCGGCAAGAGGCCACGAGAGCTACGCTGAAATTGGTGTTGCTCTGCCACGGTATTGTGCGGCACGTTAAACTCTGCCGTCAAAGCTTGTCCGCGACAGTTGAATCTCCACCATCACCACTAGGTTGGTGAAGCCAGTGCCTTTGCAGATATACTAAGCTAAGCTTACTCAGCTATCCTTTATGAGAACTGTGCGGCATAATCTCTTGATCCTTTGATGTATTTATCTTCGCCAGACCTTTCGCCTCGCGTCAAAATAGTTCTTTGCCAGGAGTTTTCGCCTCGCGTCATAATAGTTCTGCAGACTTTTGCCTCAGACGAGCCCTATGAAATGAGCACGCGGTAGCGGTGTGCTTTCGCTGAAACGATGTCTTCACCGACAATATTTAACAGTTGCCTTTTATTGCCTTTGGTGGCGACCTGACGGCGTGGTCTGTAGCCTTGAACCCAACCGCCTAATTATTTGGCGGTGATCGATTTTGCGATAAAATCTGTTAATGGTCTTGAAAGATGGTGTGGAAGCTATAAAACGCGTTAATGCATTCCATATGCAACCATCATGATTTCATAAATCTAGCGAAATGAGCATGTCTTATTTGATATCCGTCCGCGACGAATCCTCATGTGGGTAGGCACGAAATACCGGATTGAGCTTCGGTTGCGGCCATATCGGATAACGACTTGGGTTGGAAGCATAGGCGCAAAAATGTCCAAAGAGGAGTAAAATGTGCTATGCGTGGGGCTCCTCGCAATGGTGTTGGTTATGCTTTAGTGGGCCGGCGAGAGCTGACTTTGAATTAAGAATACTAGCTGATGAATATTAGATCGGCTAGTGAGAGCTGTTCCTGGTTCTGACACATGGCCGGAGCTGCGCCGGAGCTGCGAAAATCCAGAGTGGGGTTGCCGGTGATCCATTTCAATTTTTGTCATTTTGGCACCGGATTTTCGTGATGTATTTACCAATCTAACATGCCATAGGTACACCCGTTTGTTCGTATTATGAGTCCGTGTTGACGTTTATGCGGTACATTTAAACATTTACACATATTTGAGGAGCGGTGTTAACAAACATCATATGTGCTTGGGCCGACCTAAGAATGGTTTTTGACTTGCAGGTGCGTAAAGTTTCGCTGTAATGTTCTGCTTAAATCGGCATTTTTCCTTGGCCTTTAAGTTTTCCGGAACGCTGTAATAATTCCGTAAAGTTTCGCCACTCGATAGGAAACGCGCGGTTGCTACCGGCTCAATGCCTTTGCCGTGTGGTACAAGAGGGATGCTGAGTCTGGAGTGATTTGAGCGGAGATTTCTAACGCTAGCGCCTTATATCGATCTTTTTTGGCTGATTTGATACTCCATCAGTTTTTGCGTCTGTTCGTATTTATGACAGCACTAAGCCATTGCATATGACGCATGTTTATTTTTAAGACTGGAAGACATCGAAAAAGAGCGATTGGTGCCGTGTTCACGTAAAACGTGTTACATGTTATGTTAATCCGACGGAAGCCTCGCATAGCTAATAACACGTCGGTACATGCGTTAGATTTCTTCCCGTCAGCAACGGTTAAGCTGAGCTTACATGTGGATGAGTGCTGCTGTTCTTCCATAGCTTCCCCGTTGAACCTAAAGCTGGCAGAAACCACACCTATTGAAACCAGACGTGACTTTTCGGTACGTCCATCTCACGATATGACGTCACACATAAACTGAGCGTAGTTCGACTGTTATCTTCCGTCGAATTTTACGATGCCTCGTCTTTCGGACAGTTGTACGAAAGGCATGACAAACTGAACTCCGAGCCCATACATGGATGGCGCATCATTTCGAAATGAAGGACTTTTCTTTTTCTCAGTTTTGTTTTAGATTCCGATGTGGCACGTGCTTCAGTCTGCATGCACCATAGTTCCCGATTCGTTTCAGTCGTATAGAATCTGGATTTTACTTTGTAAATGAAGGACTAAAATAATGTGCAAGTGCCCGTAAAAGTAGTGCAAATGCCCTTCACAGCGATCACCGAGGACACCTTACTGTGTTAAAAGAACAGGTTTGGAGCATACGCTTATGTTTGTGTCTTTTGTATCTGGTTGTCGTGTTAACCAGACGCACAACACAGACGTCTTCGTAGACCCTGGTGAAATTAACATGAGAGACAAATATTTGACGCCTTCTTGGCTCGCCAGCACACTACATCCTGATCATTTCCCAAAGCGGCCGTTCTCATGATGTGCGGTTCTCTTTCAAGCACGTCGACATCGCCTGCGGCATGTTTCGTACGCTGTGATTGAGTTGATGTAGCAATGAACATTTTTCTGATAATCCAAAGCTTTTTATGTTACACAAATGTGAAATCCTTGTAAAGGTGTGCACGCTTATTTACCATTACTTGCTCTTGTACTAGTGAGTGCCTTGAAACAGGCAAAGAACTCTATCAATCGATCAAATCCCTGAAATGCCGCGAGAGACCACCAGTCTCGTGAGGCACGCCAAGTCCTTCAGGTGACTCACCCCCGTCAGGATATCATGCGACCCTCCACTGGATGTTGTAGGCAGGTGTCGAAGGGTTCGACCGATCATGACAAAGTAATCAGAAGTAACTGAATTTCCTGAGAGACCGGAATCCTCCATGTACGGATGATTAACGCTTTTGATATTGTTCAAATGTTATAAGATGCACCCATTCAATCTACTTGCACAGCTCGCGTGCCACAAAACACAACATCGTGGAGGTCAAACCCTGTGGGCACTAACTAATGCACCAATAACACGTATATCCGCCCGCAGGGGACGATGACGATGCTGTGGGAGGCGAGGACGACAAAGAGAGGGGAGAGGCGGGCGATTCGGAGAAACAGCCCAGCTGCGCCGACTACATCATGCACTTCATCACCGTCTTCTGGAAGGTGCTGTTCGCCTTTGTGCCTCCGACAGGTGGGTGCACAACGCTTCCGATGAGCCGTCTGACCTTCGAGATCCGTTGGGCGGTAATGGTAGCGGTGGCGCTAGACTGGTACCTACTCTCCGTTCTAGCGGAGCGTTGTGTCGCATCACTCCATGTTTACGCCAGGTCGGCCGGTGCGGAGCAGCCGGGTAGACCGTAAACCAGATGGATCGGGCAGGGCCTCAGGCGACTGTCGGGACCGCCGGTCGTGAATGCTGACGTATGGGTTGTGCTGTTCTTCAGTAATGTCTGGTCTGTTCGGCAGGCCCTTACCTGCACTCCCCTATGCAGTGTTAACGACGTAAGAAGCTATCTTTTGGCATATTACGTGCCGGCTACAAATAACGGCCTGTCGTTAGTGCAGACTGCGATGCTATAGCCGGCCTGGAGTGACACAAGTCAGTGCGTAATGCGAAGTGTGCCGCTGTCCGACCGCGTACGACCAACACCCGCGGAACGGTGTGCCCCCGCTCGATCGATACCCGGAGCTGTGACCTCAGTGTGGCCCTGAACGACGTGCCCATACGCCCCCGACGCCCGCAGATGTGACCTCAGTGTGGCCCTGTCGCCGCGTCTCACCCGTGCCTAACGCTGACACGCCTGTCCTGCAGACGTGTACAACGGTTACCCGTGTTTCGTTGTGTCGATACTGGGCATCGGCCTGCTGACGGCCGTCATAGGTGACGCGGCGTCACACTTCGGGTGTACCATCCAGCTGCGCGACTCCGTTACGGCCATTTCCATCGTGGCGCTGGGCACCAGTGTTCCAGGTACCCAGGCGGCGGGAGAGGCGCTGCAGGTGGTGGCACAGGTGGCTCGCCCTCTTCCCGGCTGGGTGCACGCGGAGGCCCGGAGGCGGCTGCTTTCCCTCTCGCTCTCCTCCCCTTCCCCCTCTCTCCACCCTTCTGTCTTTTTATCCCTCTTGCTTTGCCCATTTCTCTTTTTACCTTCCCTTTTTGTTCCTTCTTCACTTTGTCTACCTCTTTTGCTTTCACTTTCTCTCCCTCCCTCTTTTTCTCCTACACTCTCTATTGCACTGCGCTGTCCATTTGCAACCTCCATATACACCTGCCGGTTTGCAAGCGTATGACATAATATGGCAATGACCTGCTACCTCTAAATGCACCGCTGCTTGTTGACACAGTCATGCAACCCTCACTGCTCTGTCCCTCAAGCGTTCATACCTATACTGCGAGCTTGAGTTCCTAGCGGCTGCCCGCAGATATTCCGGCAAACGTGTGATCTCAGCTGCTATCCGCACACGTGGCGTCTGACCTCTGCTACTCCCCGGAGATGTGTCCTTAAAGCATGTGATCACTGTTACTTCCCGCACACGTGCCCTCATGGCGTCTGATCACTGTTACTTCCCGCAGACGTGCCCTCATGGCGTCTGATCACTGCTACTTCCCCGCAGACGTGCCCTCATGGCGTTCTGATCACTGCTACTTCCCGCAAGACGTGCCCTCATGGCGTCTGATCACTGCTACTTCCCGCAGACGTGCCCTCATGGCGTCTGATCACTGCTACTTCCCGCAGACGTGCCCTCATGGCGTCTGATCACTGCTACTTCCCGCAGACGTGCCCTCATGGCGTCTGATCACTGCTACTTCCCGCAGACGTGCCCTCATGGCGTCTGATCACTGTTACTTCCCGCACACGTGCCCTCATGGCGTCTGATCACTGTTACTTCCCGCATACGTGCCCTCATGGCGTCTGATCACTGCTACTTCCCGCAGACGTGCCCTCATGGCGTCTGATCACTGCTACTTCCCGCAGACGTACCCTCAAGACATCCGAACCCTGCCTCTCCCCGAAGACGTCTCCTCAAATCGTCTGATCCCTACTGCTCCTCGGAGACGTGCTCTCGAGACGTATGACCCCTGCTACTCCCCGCAGATGCGTCCCCCGAGCGTCTGATCCCTGCTGATCCCTCAGGCGTGCCCTCGAGGCGTCTGATCTCTACCGCTCCCCACAGACAAAGGTTCTCGCTACCCCCACGTTTGTGTTAGCCATCCTGTGTATCGCTGGATTGACAGTCGTCATTGGTAACGCGGCCTCACATTTCTGATCCACCGTAGATCTCAAAAACGCCTTCAATGCCATTTCGCTCGTTGCGTTAGGTAGTTCCGTGCCAGGTGGGCTGTTTACCGGGCAGAGGTCATTCTCTATAACGCGAGTGGTTCGGACTTCTGCGTGATCGTGGATTCACTGAACCGAAGTCAGGGACCAGCGTGCCGCCTTTTGCTGGTTCCGTTTGTGGTGTACTGGTTATATTAAGCTGATGGCCATTGCCGTTCTTAGTTTTGAAAAACCTTCATAATGCGGACATTGCTTATATCGGTCATCTTTCTTCGCCGCTTTATTCTCCGACGTTGAACCTTGTCCGGCACCGAAACATAAATTACCAATACTTTTATCGACGTTAGCTTTGTGCGCATCTTCCCAACGACATCAGTAAGTCTGGATTGCGATCATGATACGAACATTTGTCGTCAGTGATGCGAGCTCTCCCACATGTCAGCCAGCTGTGTGTCCGGCCGTCGTTAGGAGTAAGCTGGTCCCAAGAAAGACTACATGATGGTGGGCACGTAACCAAAGTGCATATCTTATGCAAGACACCCAACATCTGAAGCCCCTCACATGGGTGACCTTCACGTAGTGGTAGCTGCGGAAATGATTGTCAGAAAAGCCGTGTGCGGCCAGACATCGTCGACAGGGACGTTATCCTGGCTTCCATCTATTCTCAAGCATTGTGTAAAACAACAAACAAGTATGCTGTTGCGCAAGCGTAGTCATGGTTCGGTTTTGCGTCAGCTGATGTCCTCCTGATGCTGAAAACTAGACCATTGAGAAATATTCCGGGTTTGGAAACAACAGCTGACGTTTTACTATAGGACTGGAAAATCCCCTAATTGATCTAGTTGTCGTAGAATATGGTATCAGCGTGACACAGCTAGAGGTATATCTTTCGGTAGTAAACGACGCTTTTATTTGAATTTTCGTTGGCAACATTAATCTTGAAACGCATCCTGACTATCATGGCAGACGGAAGCATGCGTGGCAAGCTATCGTTGTTCCCCCTTCTGACGTGGTTGCGAATCCTCGAATGGTCAGGACTTTCAAACAAACATTTGGCGTGTGCTATGTGTTCTGGTGGCGGGAGGGCACTGGGCTCAATGATTTGATCTTAGATCTCTCGACATGTACAATAGTAATTGATGCGTCCTTTAGCGATTTCATGTGTTAGTCTGGCCGTCCGCTTTCAGCTGTTAATCACAGGCTTGACCGGCAGAGGTGACATGGCTTGCCAAAGGTTGTTATCATTGCAGACATTTTCTTGATTGCGCTTTCACCATTGACACTACAGAACGGAAGTAATTGTTCGTTTGAGACGAGTCCTCCTCCTTGGGGATAACAGCAGCAGCGGAAGCTACAGTCCTGGCAGGGATTCCTCGCGTAGACACGTCGCCTGCAACGTGTCCACTATTGATCATGAGCTGCCACCGGTATACCTGCGTGAACCAGCTGGGTGGCAGGACATCGATAAGTACCTGGGCTCTGCAGTGTCAGCAGCCGCTCTCCCCTCACTGTCCTCCGCTGGCCGCCCGACTGCGAGTCAGGCCATGTTGTCGTTGCCCGTGTCTCAGGGAACAGCTTTGCGGTGCTGTGTTGCCAGTGTTACGCGCATATTCAGACTCCAGCGTGCAAAATAGCAATGGCTGTTTTGGGGGCAGCCAAGTAAAGGAATGGAAGGCATGAAGCCACAGGGCGGACGGAACGCTGGCATCATGGCGAGCTAAGCGCGACGGCGTCGAGGGACAGCGTCTGCAGCAGACGATCCTCTGTCCATGAGCGACCTGCCACCGAGACGTCCGGGCGCCTGCTCCACTGTCGGACCGTAGTACAGTTTTGTCGGACTGTAGTTCGTCTCCCGCAGGCTGCTGGCAGGCGCCTCCGCGGAGATGAGCGGTGTTCGGACCGGCGTCAACCATTCACCTCTCGCTCTAAGACAGCCCCCCGCCCCCCGCCCCCCCTCCCGCTAGCCCACTAACACGGCGGTGGCGGCGGCCGGCAGAGCTGCGCAGCGGCTACCCCTGTTTCATTGTGTCGATCGCGCTGATCGGCCTGCTGACGGCCATGATCGGCGACCTGGCCTCGCACTTCGGCTGCACGGTCGGCCTGCATGACAGCGTGACGGCCATCTCCGTGGTGGCGCTGGGCACCAGCGTGCCAGGTACACGAGGCCGGGCCGGCCGTCGCATGCGACCCGCTCCCTCGCCCTGCCCCGCAGTCCCGCCCGCGCAACCGGCCGTCCCGTGAGGCTCCCGCTGTTGGCGTCCGGTTAGCGGTGCGCTGCCGCACATTTGCGAACTGTTCTTCGTAAGCTGGCCCGGCTTCAGTACCGTGACCTGGCCGGACCTCGCATGCACTCAGGGGTGGTCATTTTTTGTTGCATGTTGCTCCGTTGTTGATGAGGACGGGTTGGCAAAAAGTTCGGCGTTTTGGTGGGATGAATGTTGCGGTAGTGTCGAGCGCACGTGCTCTTCTAGCAGGCGCCTGGTGCTATGTTGCACCGTGAGTCGGGAGCCCGCAGCCTCATTCGAAGCTCTGGTCGGGAAAAGTTAGAAACCGAGGCTTTGTAGGCGTCTTTTTGACTGCTTGAATAAGAGACATCGGTGTTCAGACGTAAGTCCTAGATTTTCCACCGATCCACCTTACACCACGTCCAAAACTGATGCTCGTCTAAGAAAATGGGTTGTGATGGTGGTGATTTTCATAATGAGCGTGCCGACCGGCCGAGGAGCTTCCCGGAGACCCGGGTCGGACAGACCCTTGCCTTGTTCCTGTAGCACCCTTAACCTACATACCTTCCTGCATAACTATCTGCGTGGTGGTCATAGCATGAACCACGTTCATGCGATATGGGGCATGTTGCTATGTATCGGTTTGCACGCTCTCTTTTCCTGTCATTAGCCCCCCCCCCCTCTCTCTCTCTCTCTCTCTCTCTCTTTCTCTTTTTCTTTTTTTCTCTCTCTCGCTCTCTATGCGCAGAAACGTCAGTGTATTGAAGTGTGTATTAAGCGAGCGTGCCCTGATATGACTTTTGTGTGCTCCGACAAATAGCAAGCAATCTGCGCCAGCAGTCACCAGTGTACTTTTTGACACCTCAGTAGCCCAGTTGCGACTTTCATGTTCCTTGTCACACAATGCCAGTCTCTGTGTGCATGTAGTGAGCGCGTTCGGCCTGGGGCTCTCCGCGGTCCAAGGATCCGGACCGGGCTCTCCATATTTTCGAAGATGATACGGTAGCAATGAACATAGACGGTTAACTTCCTCGAGAAGAAGTGAATCTAAGCTCTGGTACCCAAGCAATAACAAAGTTGAGCATTAGTGCGGTGTGGTATCCATTTTTCTTACTTTTCGCCCGACGGTTTGATCCTGAAAGGGATTGAATTTGTCTGTCCCGGACATTGACATGGATATGTAAAATACGGTCTCGATAGAGCCCTGGGTCGGACGCGGCGATTGTGGTCGGGGGCCATGCGTTGGAGCCGGCTGCCAGGCTGTGTGCGCCGCCGACGGGCGACCGTCTAAAGATCGGCCTCGGCGCCCTTCAGACACGTTCGCCAGCAAGGTGGCCGCCGTGCAAGACCGATACGCCGACGCCTCGGTCGGCAACGTCACCGGATCCAACGGCGTCAACGTCTTCCTCGGCATCGGCATCGCCTGGAGCATTGCCGCGCTCTACCACTGGTTTAACGGCGAGCCGTTCAGGGTCGCCCCCGGAAAGTGAGTCCCATGATAGATGGAAGGTGTCCAGACGGTAGAAGGGTAGATAAGTGTGGCACACAGAATCTGTTGACTGTGATAACCGTATGATAAGAAAGGCTGTTCGGTATGTTTTATACGGTGCTCAATGCGTGGGTGGTGCGCAGAAAGGAAGGCAGGGGGAACTCGGTGAAGAATGCGCGAAGTGCACCCGAAGCCTTTCTGTTTGTCAGTATCGTCGCATGAGTCCCTATTGCCGCTTTCACATGGTTGCGTGATCACTGCCTGTCCATAACCTGACCATTCGTGTTTCAGTCTGGCGTTCTCGGTGACGCTGTTTTGCTGCGAGGCGGCCCTCGCCATCGGTTTAATGTTGCTGCGGCGACACAGGCGCGTCGGTGGCGAACTGGGTGGTCCGCGCTGCGCCAAAATCGCCTCCTCTCTGTTCCTCTTCACGTTGTGGGTAGTGTACGTGGTGGTGGTCGGCGCTAGAGGCGTATGGAATCGTTCCTGGCTTTTAGTTGGCGATTTCGTCGTGCGCCGCCCGCCGCATGCCGCAGTATGCGAACTGTGCTTTGCTGCCGCGTGGCCGCGGCAAGATGGCAGCAGCCTGTGCATCACGGCGCCGCTGCCGTGGCGTTCGTCGCCTGTGGCCTCCAAGCATTCTAGGGCGGTGAAAGCTTTGTCCTACTGAGGCTGAGCCGGCCACACGTATACGCTGTCGTACTCAGCACTGGTGCGTGGAAAACAATTTGTCTGATATTCTGGATACCTTTGGACTTTGACGAGACGAGCCGCTCACAGGTGGACGTTGTCGGCGACATGGCCATTTATTTGAACGTGCCGGAGTCAATACTCTTGTCGGACTGCGCTGGATGTGATGTCTCCTAGTCATGGTATCCCTGTTTTGCGTGGAGGAATACTTATACTGATCGCTTTGGCCTCGTGCCCGAAAGCTCCGACATGACCGCTGACAATGATGCACGTAACTGCGTGCAGCGAGCCACGACACGACCACGAGACGCTGTGGACGGGCGCATCCGTTGTAAGAGCAGCGGCTAAATAGCGGACGCCGCTGGTCAGGGTGCGCGGTGTTCTGTTTTGTGCCTGCACGAGCAATTAAGCGGACGTGTGAGCAAATGCATCTGGGGCCGAGCCATGTCCAGCCTTGGCCGAGTGCGCATGTGATTGGATGCCGTCTTCACCGGAATAGTCTCGTCTCGTGGAGCGCTGTGCTGTGTAGTGGGGCGCTCAGGGGGTCTCGGATAACGCTTCCCCATCTGAGCACAGACGCTTGTCTGCGTCAGGCGCGGGACGGCTGGACCGCCTTGCCAGTTGGGTTTGGTTCGTCGCGCGTGTTCCGCCGCTCCACTTTACGGGCTGTGGGGCCGTCTGATGTGCGGCGACTGGAACCCGTGGTCATGGGTGGTTCGGCACTGCTGTTCAGACAGACGCCACGTGTGTACCACCACTCGGGGTCCAGTAGCTTTCGTGCACGTCTCCGTGAGGAGTACACTCGCTGTCTTCTGTGGCGAGGGCTGCCCAGTTAATGGTTGTGCGGCTGCTGGTCGCCTCCCCGTGGTGTTTTCTTGTGATGACGAGCGTGACCGTGTTTGGAAAGGATCGCGGCTCTGGTGGCTGCCGCCGAGAGCTGGCCTGCTGCTGGACCAGCAATGTGCTGCTGCTGTTCGGTCTTGAAAACAGCTGCCGTTGTCCCGGTCTAGAATGGCCATCCTTTATCACCAGCTGTATGTGGCGGAGACGCGTAGTTTGTCTGCAGCGCCACCCGACGGCAGATTGTTGAATATGTCGTGTCAGAAACAGACGCCAGGGAAGCTGTTGTCGCGCTGGTCGGACGCCAGCGGTGTTCTGCGTGGCTAGGTATCGTCAGTATGCAGTTTTCCGCGGATCATTCATGTGTTTCTTGTTAAATACGTCTTGTTGAAATGTGCTACGCTGCCTCACGGAAATATTGACGCGGGATTGTGTTATTTGAAATAATTCAGGTGCCAACGTTGATGATGTTAACATCCGTCACACTAACGGTCCACGCCAACTTTGCCGCGGCGAGGGCTATGGGCATATATATGCCTTCGCTCTGGTATCTTCGGAGCAGAAAGGGATGAAGAACAGAGCGAAACGGCACTGGATAGCCCATGCAAGCCTAACAGGATTTTCAACAAGCACGGCATTTTTCTGTTTGAAGTTTGTGTCAAGATCATCTCTGGTAAAATTACGTTTTTTCCCTGTTTGATGTTCTCCAAGTGATGTCTCTTGAACTGACTGCGTTAATCAATCTCTGACATCTAAGATGGCATAGTCGTAACGGTGCGCTGTCCATAAAGGGCTATCCAATAATAACCTCATACAGGGGCTATTCAAGGATGTATATTCGCATCAACCAAGTGTGTGTTTATACCGGTGAGCAGATGTCATCGAAGCTATTCGATGTTTCTTTCAAAGGTGCCTGCCAGCCAGGTTTGGATTGTTTTGTTTCGTTTCGTTTTGTTGTTTTTTTTGCTGGCAGCAGCCGTGTATGGTCAGAGTGCATCTGCGCAGACTTGTGTTAGACTCGTTTCTTTAGTGGGCTCACTGACTGACTCACATATTTTGGAATTTCGATTCAGCTCACAACTCATAGGCCTTCCAAAATTTGGTGGTGGAACTAGAAGAGAACACGAGGCGGATCCCATGTAGATCCGGAGGCCCTTACGGGGGGCACCGGTGATAACCTTGTTCTCCTCCCCGACGCGGGAGGCCTTCTGACCTGCGCAGTGGTCGCGGGGGTCAAGGTGAA